ACGTTTATCAAATTCGCGATTTTAATTGGTCAATCAACAAAATGGCATGGGTTAAAAATTTGTGTTCCCTCCTGTTATTTTGTGTTCCCAGTACGTTCTCTCCTGTTAATTAGTTATAATATTAGACAATTGTTTGATTTTTTTGTTTTGATAACATGGACATTTGTTGTTGTACAAAATGTTACACAGAGCGTTATCCAGTTGTTGCCAATGATTGGTAGAACCTTATCAACCTTATCTTAAAAAAAAAGGAACTTTTCATCAGGCCATCCTATTCCTTATTTTGGAAAAAAATTAGGAGAATAATGCTGTTTTCGTTTTTGATTTGACTTGATATCTTCTTTTGTCATTTTATTATCCCAGCTACCTTGTTTACAACTTCATTTTGTTTTTCTCCAAAGACAATTTGGGATTGCTAGGTCATTTTGGACAATTCGGAATAATATATTATTTAATTAACTTCATATTATTTTTCCTTATTAAATAAACAATTTTTTGTTTTCATCTATTTATGACAAATTAATATAACAATTGATTTTATTCATCTTCATAAAAGTTTAATATATAGTTCGAATTCATTACCGACATTGAGTACTATTAACGATAATGATAAAATTGTTCCTATGAATGCGTTGTTAAATTTTTTTAATAATATTTCATAATATTACTTATATATGAATGATTTAATATTCATATTTTCATATAGGACTAAAATAAAGTGTTCTATACTGGATGTCATTAGTTTCCATTAGCACGCTCTCCGATTTCTCATTTGTTTTCTTTGTCTTTTGTGATCCTTGTTTATAATGTAGTTTCTAACATCTACGGTTTTTATTTCTCTCTCAATATTTGGCAATACAGAAAATACAAAAAAGGAAAATTTAATTGCAATAATGACAGAGAAATACAGTACCTACTGTTTCTTTCCTTAAAGTTTATTATACTATGCAAATAAATCAATTCGTAGTTCGCCAAATATATATAATAAAATGTAACAATTTATTATAAATATAATAAAAAAAAACTATATATATTAAACAATTTTCATCAACAAATTTGGATCTTTAAAAATCATATCTTTTTTACTATCACAAATTTTAAAAATTTGAGTTATCAAATTAAAAAAATTTTATTTTACGCAACATACATGGATCCTGAAACATCATCATATATTAATAAAGCACAACTTGGTGATGACGAGGTTCACCTCATATTAAGTCCTCCTTGTAAGCTCCATTCACAACTCGGTGAATTTATTTCGCCAAATCCTAATAATGTTGATTCTATAAACATCCGGAGAGCTCCAAACGCTTTTTTCCTATATCGCAAAAATTTTATTGCAGAACATAATACTCCTAGGAATAAAAAAGATGGGAGAGCTCTTTCAAAGGAAGCTGGTGTTTCCTGGAAGAATGAATCGGACAAAGTAAAAGGTTACTTTAAAGTATTAGCAAAAGTAGCTTTCCAAAAACATAAAATAGCTTATGAAAATAGAAAAAATCATATTTTTATTCCTCAACAACCAGGACCACAACAAAACTCAATAGATAATGATAATAACGATTCTGTGGTTTCATCATCACACTATCCACATTCTACTTGTCGTTACACGAACGATAATACGACCTCGTCTTATCAACAACTAGAAATGCAACAAGATAATCTTCATAAAAACGACAATACCGATTATGAAGTTCCATCATCATCTAGTCAATATTATTCTATTTCTTCTTATACAAATTTTATGAATCAACAACTAGAACTACAATTACAACAAAAAGATAGCCTTCATCAAAAAAACAATAACAATGGTGTAGTTTCATCATCATCTTGTCAATGCTCTACTTTTTCTTGCACAAATGACAATGAAACCTCGCTTCTTTTTGTGGCTCAACAACCAGAATTACAGCAAAAACAAAAAGAAAATAATAACGACTGTGCAGCTTCTTCATCACCTCATCCATTTTCTTGCAGAAGTGACAATACAAGCTCGTCTCATTTTATGATTCAACAACTACAACAAAAAGATAATTTTTGCAAAAACAATAATAGCGATGGTACGGTTCCATCATCATTACTTCATCCACATTCTCCTCCTCCTTCCTCTTCGTCATATTTTATGGTCCAACAACTAGAACCACAACAAAAATATAATTTCTGTAAAAGCAATAACAACGATTGTGCAGTTTCATCATCACCTTATCTACATTCTACTTCGTTCGATTTTAATATTAATGCTGATTGGGATGATGCATTTATTGACTGCTCCCAATTTTATGATGATACTGATTGGGATGTATTTATTGTCGGCTCCCAATTTTGATCAATGTTGATTAGAATACATTTATTGATTTTATCCTTATGAAAATATGAAAATATGAAAATTGAAAATATAAAACAAACGCAAATAGCAATAATAAATAAACAATATTTTTTGAATTGATAAATAGATATGATGGCTTGTTGTAATAACAATCTTGTTATAATATGCTTTTTAAAGACCAAGTTTTATGAATATGCCATCTCATAAGTTAAAATAATTAAATTTATTTTTATAATATTATTTGTAAAGATAAAAGAGTTATTTGTTTGCAACCCTTATAATATTTCTTCGTCTCTATTATCTTCATTGAGCCATTTTATTGCAGCAGTCACAAATACAAGTCTAATGATATATTTTGGTAAGTTACAATTAAATTTGAGTGCACAGGAGGTTGAGGAATGGCTTTATATAGAAATACTACCGCCCATAAAAGTACCATTAATTAAATTCTTTTCTGGGCTATGTTTTAATAAAAAGAATCAATATTATTTACAGATTTACTATTACGATTCTTCCCATTAAAGTCTCCTAAATATGAAAAAATGTGTTTACATCCACACCACTATGTGAAATAATTTAACTGCTAATTGATATAGTTGTAAATTCATGTTATATGATGACTATTGAGAAAGAATCGGCGAATTAGAATTTGATATCAGTGAATTTATTTTTATTTTATTGTCGATTTCGTTACATTCGTCAAATTCTTTAATATTAAAGTTTAGAAATTCTATTTCGTCACATTTATTTTCTACATATGACGAAAAAAACCATTTCGTCTAGTGTTGGTCGCCAAAATATTTTGAAGAGGCGAAAGTCAAAACTAAAATTAAATGTTATATGTCGAAACTAAATCAAAAGTCAAAAGTCAAAGTCAAAAGGTTTCGACATAAGTCGAAACTAGTTTTGACTTTTTCACGGTTGCGAAATTCTATAGTTTTGGAAATCAACGCCAATTTCGTCACCCAACCTTGATCTTTATGCAAATCAGGTCGACTAATTTTGCATTGGAATTAAGACCTCATGTTAGGTTAATAATTTTATCATAAAATATGCAAAATTTGTTTTTGTTATCAGGCAGGTATCGGTAGATACCTGCCTGTCTGATCTGTAGGTTAATATGTTTTTCACGTGTCCTTCAGACATGTGAAAAAAAGGATATTGACTATAGGAAGTATAGGAGGTATCTACCAATACCTGCCTGATAAATGAATTATCAGTTGGGTTCGACGTATTACTGGCAGAAATAAAAATTTTTTTTTTCTTTAATTCAAATATTATTCTTGTTATTAAATGATAAATTGATTGTATCACATGATATAATATAAGGTTGCAAAAATAAGTTTGTTTATTAACACAAAAAAAAGATTAAACATTTGCCGTGTCACGATCTCCTTCCAAAACTCGCAAGTCGTGCGACTTCCGCG